AGATTGGAGAATAAAAGTGAATAATGCAAAAACTTATTGCAATGATCAACAACAAGGGGAGGGGAGAGGAACTTGAATGGAAGCTCGTGTCATTTAGCGACTTTTAATTAGTCTAACATGGCCAAACTTAAGTGGATAAAATATGGGTTTTTATATTCACAAAACACGCTCTCAAGTCATAGCCTCTTACGATAATTACTTACAATATTTAAGAGATATATATAGATACATATATATCCAACCATCCAAACTAGTATCAATTAAATTCAACTAATGCATTCATTATTAAATGTCAAATATCGCAGACAGGGGGAAAAAAACCTCAACGCTTCCGTAAATAAACAAAATTCCAACAACAATTTCTCAACGTCATCAGCCAAAGTCAAATGAATTGCGGATAAATAAATGTACGTATAAAGAGGCGAATAAAATGACATAATAGAGCAAATTAAAGTATATACCTTTGGACACACACAAAAGTATTGTACAAATATATATATAATTCTCTGACGGGATTAATAATGAAATCGAATGCAAGTTAATAAATAAGCAAAGGCGAAACGAATTTAAATAAAAAAAGAGAAAGAGTGTACAAAGATAGCAAAGACCATAAATTATTTGAAATTTCAAGGAAAGCTAGGGGAAATAAAAAAAAAACATTTTTAAATCTAGAAAATGTTAAAAAACTGGAAATTTACAAAATAATATTTTTTACAATATATATTTTAATTAATAAAATAATTAATAACCAATAAAAGATTGCTAATAAACTTACAGGATATTAAAAAACAGAATATTTAAAATTACAAAAAAATAGTTGATATTTTCAATGATTTATTTATTAATATTTATTTACATTTTATTGAAAAACGAAATGCTTCTCAAGTTCCCAAAATGTATCTGCTCCTATTCCATAGTATCCGTATCTGTATCTGCACTTGGCTGTGCTCCTATCTGTATCTGTATCCGTACTTGTATCTGTATCTTCTCTGTCTAACTGTTTGTCGGCAGTTGACGTCGCTGTTTTTGCAGCTTTTTTTTTTTGTGCTGCTCTCGCCTCTTATTATTATGTATTAGCATTATTATTTACCCGTCCTCTTTATCTTCTTTTTGTGTGGAAACAGCGTGGAATGAGAGATTCGTGGAATTGGGACACTTGTGTGCAGTGCGAGCGGATTTGTTTTTTTCAATATGAAATACTCTTTCGGCTCTCTTTAAAGAATTCTCCCGAAACTGCTGTTAGTTTCATCTCTTTCCCCTCTATCTTATGCGACTTTTCGCGCGTGTCCGTCAATGTCAAATGGTACAATTTCTTTTATTTTTCTTTCCTGTTTTTTTTTTGTACTATAATTTGTTTATTAATTGTTTTGCTGCTCTAACAGCTTGCGTAAATATTTTGACAAAGTTGCATTGAAATTTGCAGAAAAATTTCCACTCGACCCACGTGGCGTATGATTGATATTTCGAAAGCTGCATTGGAAGATTGACTTGGTATATATTTTTAGCATAACTTGAAATGCAAAAGAACAGCAACGAATCTCTTTTTTTATATCTAAAAACTTGAAATGCGCAAGCAAACGCAAAAAACTGAACGAAAATTGATTTTGTTGTTATTTTTTTGGCAAGCAAACAAATACACACAAAGATTGCAACCAAGGTCAATGATGAATAACAGCAAAATGCGCTGTTCTGTATGTATGTATGTTATATATATATATATATATATATATATATATATGTTCATATATATCTTTGACCAGTCGCAGATCTCCACATGCAGAAAGAGAGCGAAAGAGAACCAAAATGCGTTCTTTATATTTTCTTTCCTTTGCTGACTTTTTTGAGTTTGCCGTACAAAGTAAATAATCTGTTTGTCGGGAATTTGTTTTTTGGGAGGGTTTGGCGGAGGGTGTCCCGCACATAGATCGCTATATACTACTACAAGCTATACACTCTTTCTGTTTTTTTTTTTTTTATATGTACTTTAGTTGAAATTTATTTGTGCATTGTCGTTGTTCGGCGAGTGCGAAATTCGTTCTGCGAGTTGCAAATCCGCGTTGAGTTTGTCAAGTGGCGAAAAAACGTTTTGCATTTTTTGCGATCGGGATATAAATATATATTTTTTGTTTGCAACGCAGGTGTGGTTATATGAGAATTGGATTTTAAATTGGACCTTTGAACGAAGGTGAATTTCAATGGTAAATATATTTGTTTCTGATGCAATTTATCGGCAGATTTTGTAATTTTATAAAGCAAGCACATAAATATTATTCAAAATATTTAACTTCTGGAAAACCTAGTCGAAGGCAAATGTTTTTTATTTGAAATATATCATACATATTGATCCCTAAGCTCTTGATAACTGGAAAAATACTTTTTAAGGCATCAATATCTTAAAATTAATTGTCTTAAAAATCCTGCAATTATAAGGAATTTTAAAGCTTTTGCAAACTTTTTAGAAAATATCCTTAAAAATCTTCTTGGGCTTCTCAAATTTCAATTGTAGATACAAAAACTATCTATACTTCCTCACTAAATATTTCCCACATAATTGTGATCATAGCGTTTCGCCAGCAATTCTCAGATTCCCATCGTTTTGCATACATCATGTGCATTAATTGCTTAATTGATTCACATTTCATTCAATTCACTCAATTCGTATTCACCACTCACTTCACACACACACACTCTAAGATCTTAGTTTGAAAAAAAAGAAGAATATCTTTAAGATTTCGCGTATTATTCTCACCTTTCATGCATGCGCGACCACTAATTCCTGGAATTCCTTTGACTGACTAACCCAAAAGTTGTTGTTCTCACACGCGCAGAATTCGAATGCGAAAGCACAAAAGACACAAGAAATGGCGCCGAATATCCTTGAGAAAGGCAAAAGCCGATGACGAAGAGAGACGCAATGGCAAGCCAACAAAAAAAAAAAAAAATACAAGAAAAAAACCAAAAGAAAAGAAAAAGCCGCCGGCGCAGTCGCAGGCTGCTGCAGCAACAACAACAACGGAAAAGATAAATCAAAAAGTAGCCAAACACACTCACCAGTGCAATCTCAAATAAAAAAAAAAAAAATAAAACTAAAAGAAGCACACAAAAAAAACCCAAAGAGCCAGACCGAAAAAAAGAGAGCGAAAAAGCAAGCCATAAACAGTTTGATCCGCTTTTTTTCGTCTTGTTGTTTAGCAAATAACTGCATTTGACCTTGTTTCGATTTGTCTTTGTATGGGTTAGCTTAGAACAAACAAGATATACATACGTATACGTGATATACCCGTGTGCCAGAGCGGGAGAGCCTCTGCGTGCTGTGTGCATGCGAATTCATATTTGCGATACTCGCTTTTGTTGTAGTTGTGTATTTTTGGCGCTTGTTTGCTTTGCTTTCAATTTTCGCTGCGCACGAAGAGGAGAAACTGTGGGAGAGAAACAGTGATAAAAATGCTTCTAGCCGAAGCACAAGTGTTTTTTAGGTTTTAAATACTCTAACTTTAAATAAATTAGTAAGGATTAAATAATATTATTAAACAAATAATCAAGGAGATAAGTAAGACTATTTAAGAAATTCTTTAATTAAATATTTTATGCTGAGTTTTTTAAGTAATTCTATCTTGATTAATGCTGTATTATTTTCCATTTAGGCAACAGTAAAACTAGTTGGGAATTATAAGTCCAAGAAGGTTGAAAATATCTTTTATACTTTCAAGAACTGTTATTAAAGAATGTATTAAAATTAAATGTCACTCTTACATTATAAAAGTACCAAACTGTTTTTTGTTCAAAAGGGTATTCGAATATCTTTGTATACCCTTATTTTCTTAGCCTTTGCAATTATATTTTGCGATTAATTCAGCTTGGTAATAAAAAAATATATCAACTTCCACAAAATATTCCCCTAAAAGCGGAAACTTTTGAGAAATTCTCTCATTAATTTCTACCTTTCCCCCTATTTTTATCTCTATCGTTAAATGTGCAATTTTTGTTTAGCCGAACCAAAATCAAAATGTAGGTTAAATTTACGGAAATTGCGCCGAGGGCAGAGATATGTACAAAAGTATATGCAGAATATGTTCAAATATGTGTGTGTGTTTTTTTTTTGGTATAAAAATATAAAATAGCTATAAAACAAAAGCAACACAAAACAGATACGTGTTCAGATAGCGCACTCACACATACAGAACACGTTGTTGTTTTTGCTGATGTTCTGTATTTTGTTTTTGTATATTTTTGTATTTTCGGTATGTCTGTGTGGATTATGCAATAATTGAGCGAGGAGACCGAGTAAGATAGTCCGAATGACTAATGATATGGAATTGGCTGCAAACAGGTGCTGAAAGCGAGAGAAAAGTGTTTCTTTTTTGAGGAATTATGGCTTTTTTGAGACTCTTAAAGTTAGTTAAATAAAAATTAATTTAAAATTAACTTGAAATTCTTTTCTAGGGTAGTTGCAGTTTAATTTAAGCTTCGTCATTTTTGCGCATCCAATCAGAATGCACCTGTAGGGGAAAGTGAGATAGAGATATATGCACACGATCGTTGCATTCTTCTCTTTCTTTTTGCTTTCGGCTCTCGACTTCGTGTCTTTGTTTTTGTTTTTGCCATTGCAATTTTGTATTCGCATGCGCTTTCGGGTTCGTGCTTTGAATTTTAATTCGTCGGATCGGTTTTTATCTTTTGAATTTCACGAAGTGACTTCGTGTTTGTACATTTTTTGCAACTGTTCGGTTTTGCATTGTTCTTATTGGAGAAAAAGAGTAGAATGCATTTGTGGGGAAATTTAAGAAAAATATAAAAAGAATTTCCAGTAAGAAAGTCTTTCCTTAAAAAGAAATCAAAAGAATTGAAGCCTAAAAAAAGCTGTGGTTAGCTTTTTTAAATATTTAAATTTTACTTAAATAAATAATATTTTTATTAATAATATTTATAAATATAAAACATAAATTTAACTAAATTAAACATAAAACTAATTTAATTTTCGTTTCTTCTTTTCTTTACAGGTAAAGAAATTGTTCCTTTTGGTCTAACTTACAATTTCCACCCTCGAGTAAGTGCTTACCATACTTTCCCCCATAAAAGATACAATATCTACGAAATCTTTAGGCTAGTCATGGCTCAGTTGCACACAAGACCTGCCACGTCATGTCGTAACAATTCCGTAGACCAAAAGTGCGTTGTCTAATTCGGAAAAGCAAACCCCCCCACCCACCTACTGTTTGTGAAACTCCCATGAAACCCAGATCCATCATCCAGCAGCAGATGGAAAAGGAAACTTTAAGCCACCACCAAAAAAAAAAAAGCCAGAGAGTGTGCCGCTGCCACACCCACCCAGAAAACTTCCCTTCCTCTGGATTTTTGGGTTGTGAATGGGGGCTGCTGCCTGCAACCAAAACAAGAATGCAATTCCGGCTTTTGTGCCACGGACGAGAAATCTCGGCCGGAAAAAGAGGAAAATCATCCTGCGGGGCACGTGCCGATAATGAACTCGACCTCGGTTGAATGCAACCCCTGCAAGGAGTCGTCGTGTCGAGTGTTTAGGGGTAGCTCTTCGGGGCTAATCCCCTGACTGCAGCAGCCCAGCTGCAGCATCAAAGGATCTGCAAAACTGGGATCTCGAGTCCTGGCCGGGCGCCACCCCTTGTTGAGTGCAACAACTGCAACAATTTTTCGGGCTCGGTTAATTAACCGTTGCGTCTTTGTTGCAATTGAGGGGTTGAGAAGGGTTGCAGGCGGCGCACAGTCCATTTGAGGGGTTGGTTGCAAGCGACGAGTGCGCGCTAAGCTGTCCAAATTGCTGATGTGACAGGCGCTACGCGTGTGCCGCCTCACAACTAATTGCACTTTCACAGAATCCCAAACAAAATCCTAACAAAAAAAAAAAAAAAAGGATTGCACAAAGAGGTTTTTCGGGAAAACTGGTTTCCATTACATTGTACAACTCTGAACAAAGTTGCTTTGCAACAGGGATTTGTCAATGGGGTTGTGCGAAATAGTTGAAACATGAAAGGAAAAATGAAACAAGTTAAAGGCAACATAGCCCTACAAATTAGTCATAAGTCATAAGTATTTCAACCCCTATTTTATATATAGTAAATGGGAAATTAATGAATTGATCACGAGAAAAAGCAGGAATATAATTCGGAGAACATAAACCCTAATCAAATAATTCTTAAAATTTACTTAAAGCTCATAAACCCTTTTTAAATAATTCTTAAACTTTACTTAAAGCTCATTTACTTTAGGAAAATATGTAAAAAACTTTAGTTAGGTATAAAAGAGAGTCCCAGCTTGTTATAAGTTTTCAAGACAACACCTGAAAGTTTTTTCTACGAAACTCTTCAAGCAGCAAATAATTTGTAGTCAAACCCAAGGACTACCTACTTTTCCCTTTCTTATTTTTCTTATTTTTCCTTCTTATTTTTTCTTCTTATTTTTTCTTCTTATTTTTCTGTGCCCCAAAACCCGAAAATGACCAAAAGCAATCGTCTTCGTCTCTGCCTCAATTTGACACATTTTCAATAGTCACCCCCTGTGGGGCTCCTTTTTCTCTGGACTGCAACATGCCATGCTCCTTCATCAATCTGCTGCGTGGAGAAAACCCAAGAAAAAGAAAAAGAAGGAAGAAATAAGAAAAGAAAAAGGAAAAGCAGTTATCCTGCTGAAAAAGCTGAGGAAGAAGAAAGAGTCACGCCTCTGTGACGGCTCATCACAATTTCGGGTAGCAAAAATAAAAGAAAAAACTTTGTTGCAACATTTTGTTTTGCCGCCTGTGTGCTCAATTGCCCAACAACAACAATAAGAACAGGAGGTCCTGCCTACAGGATTCGGACCTGGTCCTGGACTTTTTCGTTTTTTTTTTTTCTTTTACTTTTTTAATAACAGGGAAAAAAGGGAATTTAACTTTTGTTGCTTACGTCATTGGAAATTCTGTGTTTTTTTTTGGCAAGTGCGTGACATGGCTGGGGGGACTAGGAAAAAAGTCACTTTAATGACATTTTGTTTTAGGCTCGTGTAGCTTAGGAGAGAGGAAAAGGTGGCCAGAAAATAGAGAAGGAAAGGGAGAGGGGTAAGAGGAAAATTCCCATTTTTGTAGCTCTAGCTGTTTTTATGTACATTGCATTTTTATTTTCTACACATTTTTTTATAACTTTGTACACTTTGTATTTTTCTTGTCTCTAAAGAATATTATTTTATGGAAACACAGTGAACTGTGAAATATTTTTAAGCAATACAAATGTATATTTAGGGTTTTCTTAACAAATTAAAGAACACTATTATATGTTTATCTTGAAAAAAGGCTTTTCTATCTGTTTAAAATATTATTTACTTTAAAAGTATCATCTGTGAGATAAGTTTGAATATTTTTCTTAAAGTTTCAAAGCTTGTATCTGTACTTTCAAGTCTTAATAAAATATATAAAATATTTTAAAGTGTGTACCATCTCCTTCTTTCCCTCTCTCTCTCTCTCTCTCTTTTATTTTTTGTACTTTACCTTGTGTCCCTCCATTCCCTTTATTTTTTATGTTCTTCTCATTCAATGCACGTCCAATGAAAATGATTGTGTATACGCCTCAGTGCCCCGCGGCAAATGCGTGCGGCATGAGTAATTAGCAGGCGCAGGACACTCTCCAGGATACACACGCACCCACACTGGCACACTCTCCCGCCCACACACACACACACTTATATACCTTCAAATAATTGCCTAATTGCATTAGCCCAAAATTATGCTGCATTTTTGCACATCAAAGACGAAAATTTTCGGGATGCTGCCTTGCTCCTCCATAACTTTCTCTTTCTCGTTTTCGTTTTTACTTGAAATATATACATATATTTTTTGTGTGCTTTTGCAGGACGAAAACTGGGTGACAATTTGCTGCACAAGTGCGTGACAATATCTGGGTGCCTGTGTGCGTGTGCAACCCCCAAAAAAAACGCACAAAAGTGTGGAGTGTGTACATACACCCACCCTTGGCTCTTGGCTTGGTATTTTTGGGCTCGCAAGAAAATTGATTTTTCCGCAGTTTTCCCGTTTTCTCGCTGCAGTCTGCGTTTTATGTGCGTTCCTGCGAGTGCTTTTTGGGTCCTGTTTTTGGCTCATCTCCTTTGGGGTCCCCCCCCTTGTACATGGGCATAAATTATGTGCGTGTGTATGGGTTTTTTTCGGGTGGACTTGTGCTTGAGGTGCTTGAAGGGAAAAGGACACTGACTGCGCCTGTGCGTTCTTGTTGTATTGTTTTGACACTTTTACTCGAGTTGATTTGCAGCAGCATCTGCAGAATTGAAATGGGTATTGAGAACTGGACAAATGGCTTCTCCCGAGATGCTCTGCAGTTGTCGTAAGGAAAGGAAGAAGAGGTAGAAAATAAATTAAATATAAACCTCTAGGGTTATCCTTTGTTATATTCTGAACTTTAACTTTAAATTTAATTCAAGTATAACTTCAGTCCTGGGATGCTTTCTTAAATTCTAGAGATTTATTCAACTTACCTTTAAGTTAGCATTGATATTCAAAAGGGTTGCCTTATACCAGGACTTGTTGCCTTTCCTTTTCCCCCATAAAATATTTAAATATTTTCCATCAATATTCATAGCTTTTAACGCTGAATTTGCAGCATTGATATTTTTTCAATCCTACATTTTTCAATTCCTTTTTTTTAAGTCATTTTTTTATTCATATTTTTGCAATTCAATTTTTTTTGTCCAGAAATTTATTTCATATAAATAATTTCTGTTGAGGACAACCCCTAACGAGTTGTGCGTGTGCTTTATGCCACGCCCACTCGTTGAATGAAAATCACTTGACTTTTCATTAATAAAATTGGCAGCAGACGCCAGCAGAAGGGGACAGTTGGAGTTTTTAGAGTTTAAAAGAAGAAAGGGTATACCTCGATGAATGGCCAAGCATATATGCAGCCAAACATTTAAACCCTTTTTTCATTGTTAAATTTCATAAATTTTTTTTTAACTGCCCAACCTTGTATACATTTTTGTTTGTTTTGCTTTTTTTGGCTGCGTCAAGAGAGACACGCAGAATGCGGCTTACCGAAAAGTGAAAGGTTCCTCGATCCGCGAGTCGCGTATATTTCCAAAACTTCTTTTCAAAATTGGTAGACCCAACTCAATGTACAATAAAAAAAAAACCACCCACACCTTTTACAGACTGCAGCAACCCCAAAAGTGAAATTCATTTAGAAAAAAAATTGTTTTCCATACGCATTAATGCAGCAATGCGTAAGCCAGTGAGGAAAGACTGGGAAATTGTGGGGGGATGGGGCCAGACCTTGTTATGATTATGCCATATATGCTATATATCCTGGGCTAGTCCTTGTAAGGACTTGTTTGTTTGAGTTTTGGCAGTCTTTGATATGCGACAAAGGCAAGTTATTTATTGCTTACATTTTTTTTTAGCTTTTTAGGATTTTTTGAAATTGATTAACGCAGGAAACTCTTTGTTTTAAACCAAAAAAATATGGGTGGGAGTTTGGCTGAGGATTATAGGACGTTTAAAGTGGCTTAAGATGATTTCTTCTAATGAAAAGTAATATATATTTAATAGAATAAGAAATATCTTATAAAATACTCTAAAAATCTACAACCTTTCTAATTGTTTAATAAGTAAAAACTCTCTTTTTGAGAACCTTTTACATTTTTTATAGGTAAAAACTCTCTTTTTAAGAACCTTTTACATTTAAAATCCCTTAAACTCTCTTCTTTTCTTTTTTTTTTTACATTTAGAATACCTTTTCTTCGTTTCTTTAGTACCAAACTTTTGTATTAATGAAAAGTAATCAATATCTTAATAAATACTTTAATTAAAACAAAAAGGTTATTCTTTATTCATAAATATAAACTCTCTTCCTGAGACCTCTTACACATTTTTCTTTATTTTTCAAAACCTCTTGCTTTTTTTGGAGTCTAACTTTTCAAAAATGTTTTCGTAAACTCCTTCAACATCCATTACCATTGTTTGTTTTTAGCCTTAGCCTCGTTTGGGTCCCAACCATTCCATAAATTCTACACCCCAAACCCTTACCACTCTACTCG